GACCACAATGTAACGAGGCAAGTCACATCCACCCCGTCAGTATCACGCGCTATGTCCGTTGCGGCTTCGCGCGCCGTCTCTGTGTCCAGGGCCCTATCCAGCGCGCCTACGCCCGCCATTGCTGCCGCGCCAACTCCAGGACCCAGTTCTTTGAAACAAATGTCAGCCGTAGGTGGCAGGAAACGGAAAAAACGTAAGGCTTGACCACTCATATTCCACCCTGTCAAGCATATTCATTCGACGATTTTACAGGTAACACAGTGCAAACTCCTGCCCCTTCGTAGTCACCGTGTCCGTGCTAATTCTGAGAAGTTCATTGTGACTGGCTTTTACAGAATAATCAGTTGCCCGAGAGGACATTTACGCACGGTAGTGTGTATCATCGAGCTCCAACGCCTGCCAGTTTTCCTGTCAGCCAGTCTAACGGTGTTTTCAATTGCCTTCGTGGCCCGCCTCCGACGCCTATTGCTAGAGGGTTTGCAGAGGAAAAGGATTCTTTGCGGAGTTGTGAAGCATATTGGGCTAATACACGTTGATCGTAAGAAAGTCGAAAATTACGTTTGCCAGGATTTGAACACATAAGCACCGAGCAATCAAGTGACACTTGAAGGTGCTTACCAGATGCATCAATTTCTTCGACATTAGTTTCAAGAACAACCCCTCCTTGGACAATTTCACTCAATATATGGTGTACCTGGAACGCAATGAATCAAATCATGATTTTGGCTCTAGAGAAAGAAAGACCAACCTCATCGAAATGAAAAACCAGGTCCAGTTCGCACACGTTCTCGAAAGCTCGATCGAGCGATTCGACGAAAACCTATTGATACGTTTCCACCAGCATGAGAAATGGATGACAGATGCGAACCTGGATTAAATCAAGGATGCCTAATTCGCTCTCGGCACCATCGACCACGAACACAAAATACAATGTCGCGTAGTTGCGATAAACTACGCGCCATTTCTCGTCTGCGTAGTTTTTTATGCCGAGGTATTCCTCGAGTTCTGGAGCGTCCAAGAAATTACACAAACTGGAGGGCCGTGAGCTGACTAGAGTGTAGATCTTCCGTATGATGGTTTGTGTGGGCTGGTGCAGAGGAGTGTAGAATTTGGCGAGACGAGCTAGCCCAGATGTGTTGACTGAGACCATAGAATAAGCATTTTCAACGTTTTATAAGAGAAGAATGAGAACGAACAGATGAGAACGGCATGTATCATGATGAGTTATAGAGAGCTGACCGCTAGATTGCCGTCAAGGCTAAGGCGGATGAACGCCGCACAGATACCGTGACGGACACCGACGGCTTTCGGGGAAATGGCGCATCACGCATCTGATCGCCGCTCGACGACGATCACCTGGCTATTTGCCTTGTCTTTACTTAGTTCTTGCTTCCTTCATTTCCATGGAGAAACTCTTCAACCGGCCACCATCCATTGCGGAGGATACTTTACATTACGAAATATGGCCCTCACCTGCTGTATCTGACCGTGCCTCAGTAACTTCCTTGTCGGCCTGCATCGAAGTAGATGTTAACAGTCTCCTTCCTGGCCGCTTCATATGGCACAAAGATCCGTTCGAGCTCAAGGTTGTTGCGAATCCTCGGACGCCGGATGGTTGGATTCTGGAGGGGATGATGCGCGTGGGGGACTGCGTAGACGATGAATGGTGTGTTGTTTGGCTTCTTCGTGAATTGAGCCGAAAATGGGACGTTGCCATTAGGTGCGAGTTAACCGCAACATTTGATCACAGTTGTTTACACCTCTCACAGAGTGTTCGACTCGGATGGGGAATTTTTACTCATCGAGGCTGCCGAGGCTCTGCCTACCTGGGTCAAACCAACGAACTCTGAAAACAGGGTGCGCGGTCCCGTTCAAGAAATTTGCATGATAGTTACTCATGTGTGCACTAGGTTTGGATATATGGCTCACGTCTGCACTTGGTTCCTGTGTCGCATATCTCTTTACCCTCAAAAAGACTTCATCGCCAACAAGGAGATGATGAAGACTACCTCCTGGATAATATTGATGACAGCGAGTATATTTCGCCTGAAGATGCTCAAGAGCTTGTACGCGATTCAGATGAAGACACACTGGCTCCGCTGTCAGTTGAGCGACTTGTGTCGAACCGTATTGCTGGGTGCGAACATTCCAATAGCATTTATAACCTCCATCATCTCAATGGGGCTTCAAGTTACCCACAGGCTCTCAAGAACCATGTTCATGTCACGATGGCCCACCTGCCAGAAGATATTGGCCGTGTTCTTTCAGTCAACCCTTCTCTTGTGCAGAGGGCGGTGGAGACGTTTTACACCCGCGATGGCGTCCAATTACGGGTACGGGTATACTTATCCAAGACATGTATCAGAGGGCTCACTTGTATAGTCGGCTCATCGAATGTCTCGCTTCCCGCCTGAGCCCAGTGTTCGAGTAAGCGTAAGCATGACGCGAACCGCATATGCGCAGTTGGTCGGTCAAAAATTTCATCCTCCGAAAGTCTTCGGAAGATGGCCAGAAATGGAAGGCTCTCCGCAGTGGCGTCGGCGAGATATTGGCATGAAGATCGTAAGCAGCTGCAATTCCTTCATCCGGATATAATTGTTTACCACTAGCATTTAGGCCGTAGGTTTTGAAATTCTTTACCAAGAAAGCAAAGCAAAGGCAGTCCGTTTTAATCCCATTGATGAGACATCTGTTAGTGCCACCATTTGGTCGTATTCTCTTTCTCCTCTGTACGTCTGATTTCTGTTCTCAGACTGCTGCCAGAATCGAGGCACTTCGACGCGATGCGGACTTCGAGAAGTACATCGACAAGCTCCAGGCCATTGGTTATTTTAAAGGGGAATTATGCGGCTCGGCTACGTGGAATGTTTTAGAGCAAAAGGCCGCAGACATATTCATTCAGACGAGGTGCACAAAGTATGTTTTTGCAGGTGCCACTTCCGTTTCCTGTGTGAAATTGACGATTATTTCATGTAGTGAGACTTCAAGGCCATCATTTGCCTCTCTCGTCACTGAAGCGTTAGCAAAACCTTCTGCCCTTCCCGATGTTCCAAGCGAAGAAGAAGCTGACGATTGGCTAAACATCAATGCTACCGACTTCGACGCCATGTTAGAACGAACAATGCAAAACCAGCGTACAGCGAAAGTTAACGGTGACGACAATGCAGATGGTGCAACTGCGGAGGATCGTATGACTTCACAGCAGGCGGAAAGATTGAAGGTCTTGGCGACGAAGGTCGAAAGTTTCATTGAGGGAGAAGGCGACATCGAGGGCGCTCGTTTCGATGGCGAGGCATCATCTGACGATGACGAGCCGGACGACGATTTACTTGACTCTCATGATGAGACTGACTCTGACGTTGCATCCGTCGATCTCGAGACGGACAGACAAGCTGCTCTGGACAAGCTAGTCACACCCATTGATGCTTCTGAGTACGGCCAGATGCCTGCATATTTTTACTGCAACTCCCAGAAAACGAAGCCGTCGGAAGATGTAGAGATGGTTGATGCTACTGCTGAAACAGCCGCATCGGCAGATCAGTCAGGTCTTTCGCACGATGCAGCCCCGAAGTTGTCGGCGAAAGGTACAATTACTGGGGAAATGACGAATCCAAAACCTATTCGCGGACCTATTCTCACGCGCGATAAATACGACGGTGTTGATTCTGACGATGAAACAGATGAAGAACTCATAGAACAGGAGCCTAACTCGGAGGAGGAAGATCACCCTGAAGTTGTTGGAGAGATGGAGATCGACATGGGCCAGGAGCAAGACGAGTTTTTGGAGTTCGCGCGGCAGACTTTGGGCATCTCAGACGCTCAGTGGGACGAGATTTTGCGTGATCGACAGGGACGAGGCGGTGAGCATATACTTTATTTTTCGCATCGTTCGCCTGAACAAGGAAACTTACGAATGCGTAGCCTTCATCCCTTCCACCGGCACCTCGTCTTTTTTCACTGGTGCATCTCCAGAGTCTTCTGTGTCTCACGGTCGCCCTCCCGTACCAGGACCCAGGCCAAAGGTTAATCCCGATCTGGACTCATTTGAGTCGGTCATGGAAGCCATGGAAGAAGAGCTCGAACGATCGCGCACCGTGAAGATGCCGACCGGGATGAAATCAAATGTCACTACGTCGTCCACAGAGCCTGTTGTCGAAAAGATTACAGGCGCCAACGAAACGAAAGACAAAGGTAAAGCGAAGGCTGTCGATGAACACCGAGAAGAGGAAGATGTTGATATTGAGGCCGCCATGGATGCAGAACTCCGAGACGTTTTGCAAAGAGGTGAAGACGACTTCGACGGCTCGGACGATAATGCAACGATCGACTACAACCTGATCAAGAATTTTTTGGAAAGCTTCAAGAGCCAGGCCGGATTATCAGGGCCCGTCAGCTCTCTCGCTGGCAGGTTACAGCCTGGCTGGCAATTACCCCGAGACGACACGTGATTATCTGCGTGACATTCATTGCTGCATTCTCGAGCATAAGATTGTCCTACTGTGCTGACATTCAACGCTACTTCATTATGCATTAATATCCCCAAAACATAAAATTGTGGCCATTATGCTTACCTACAGACAGGTGTTTTCTTTCCAGCTCCAAAAGAGTGATTTTTGTACTGTCGTTTTCAAGAATGGTCATCCATGATTGTCTGGTTATGGTTTTATATGTCGGAACCCCCCAACCCGTTTCTCGACGCCTCGTGAGTCCCATGATACTAAGTGCCCAAATGTGGTGTGCCTAAGCGCATTTCTCTGGGTGGCTTTATTGTATCTTTCTTTTGATTCCTTGTGCCCCGCGGATGCATTTTCTCTGTAATTTCTACTCAGATCGTTGGATGCCCGTGGCCAACTTTGTAACCGGGGTACTCCGATGAAACTCAACAATAAAAATGTTATGTGCAGCCGAGCGCGTTACATATTGTTATCTGAAGGCTGCGAAGCGTTAGCCGATGACGACGATGATTACTCCTTACATTCGCAATGATTCTAGTAATTTGTGCCCGCCTAGCTCAATCGGATAGAGCGTCAGACTTTTACGGACATGTATCTGAAGGCTGCGAGTTCGACCCTCGCGGTGGGCTATTCGACGATCAGGGTCACAATTTCCCCTTTTTGTGTTGCCATTCCACGGTACTAGTATTATGAACATGAAAATAATTGTCAGCGGTAACTTGCCCACTAAGTATGTAGACGCAACCGCGTGCTATCTTCACGGATCGTCTTAAATACAAGACGCAAAAACCAGTCAGCGAGTATTTGTTGGTTCGTATTCTCCTATGTACTTGAGCAATCTCTACGACTAACACGGATGCTGCAGTTACGAACTGGGAGTAAGACATGGATATATGGGAAACTGTTATACGTGGTATAAATAACTCCATTACATTAACCAACGTCCAAGTAAAATCAGAATATCGCATGCTGTCATAGCTGTGCCAATGTCGGACCTGCCGACATTGTTATCACCCTCGGTATGTGCAGCACCTGGACAGTGAGTATTAGTTCAGGGTATGCAACGATTAGAGCACGTCAATGGGTGTAACAAAACCATCAAAGGTCGGGAGTAGGGGGGTAATTGAAAACAACACAACAAGATGCACACTTACACAAGCATGTATGGCATGATGCTGGCGAACATCAAGGCGAATGACGCCCACAGAAGATAGAGGCCTATTCCTGGATGGACAGTGATACCGAGCGAGGTGGCTTTGCTACTTTCACCGATTACAAAATCGTCGATGGCACCAGCCTTTTTAATCATGACGGTCCAGATAGTGGCCGCAACCAGCAGCAGGATAGCCGCCACGACAGACATGCCGGTGGAGAAAAAGAAGAGGTAGCTGCGTTTGGCAAAGCCTCTGGTAATTAGATGTGAGTGGAGAGGGCAGAACGTGCACAGACAAATTTTTAACGGTGGTGAGAGTAAATGAACGAGCCTACAAGAAACGTGCGGCACTCACGTCAGGAAGGCGAGCGCAGCAGTAATGGTGCCCAGCAGAAGCATCCAATAAGCAGCCTTGGTAGATTGGCCAAGGTATTTGGAATCATAGAAGGTCGTGCCGTACATGATATAATATGTGATAGCGGAATAGTTGGAAAGCATGTCGCCTGTGAGGGCGTTGTATGGGCGAAACTGGTTGCCAATGGTCTGATTGCCACAGACACCCTGAGTGTCGTTGGATCTGATGTCGAGGTATGCGCAGTAAGAATAGAGGCCCCACTGGTAGATATCGCGGAGGCCCTTTTGCTTTCCGAGCGGTGCAGAGGCGTTTGTGGCATAGAGACCATCGATGGGATCGAGGAGAGCGTGTGTGAGTGCAGCACTGCAAAAGACGGATTGAGGGATTGAGCTAGTCGATCAAAGCGATAATGAAGACGCACCCATAGTCCGTGGCATTCACTTTGGCCTGCGTTCGAACCATGTGAAATGGAAGAGAAGAGGTTGGATGAGCGTGCGTGGATAATCAAGGAAGCGCTACAGCAACCGGACACTAGGGGGACGCACCATGTAGATGTGGCGGGGGACATTGGAAGTACTGATCTGGCCGACATGACAAAAAATCATCAACAGGACGGCAGCAAAACTAATGCAAGGACGTGTACCCAGTCAGTGAGTCGACAAGCTGGGGACGTGCAGGAATAATACTGAGACTGACGAGAGAAGAGACCCGAAGCCAACGCAGACTTCGCCGCGCAAGCGCATGGTTTAAATCTCGGACCGACGGAGAAACAATGGAATGGAAAAGCAGTATATATGGTACTGGATCGTTATATCATGAAGCGAGAAACAGGCAGAAACGCGCAGCACACGTTCGGTACCGGGCACAACGCGTGTGAGTGACTGTAGTACTACTACCAAGTCGTCGGCATCAACCACCTCGAGGCAGACGCGTTCCACAGACGCGCCGCCCCAATTCGGCGACTCAACGTCTCGCCATCAGAATGAGTCACCATCTATCTGACTGATGTACTAAAGCACTTGCTGTTTCCTGTGCTGTATTGTCCAAACAGCTTCTTCTCCTACCCATTTTCCTTTTTTTTTCCTTCCGGCCTGCGCCCATGTCTACCTCTTCGCCATTATGCACAAGCACCTCATCCACTGACACGTCTCCCGCGCAGCTGGATCTCGCCGCTTCTGCCTCCCAGGATGACGCGCAGACAAGTGAGTACCGCGGCAAGGTTGGACGGTTGTCCCAGAGGGTCGAGCGCAAGGCCTCCAAGCTTGGACGCAGCATCAGCGCAAAGGCCTTGGCAGTCTCTTCACCGTCTCCTAGCACACCGACGCGCAAGCTATTCAGTCTTAGTCGCCGGAGCCGTGACGGTTCAGGTAAATCCCTAATACCCGTTTCATACGGGCATATTTATCTCCAGGACATCGGCATTCACCCGATTTTCAGGAAAGAAAGATTCGTCACCTCCGGATCCATCGCGGACATCACCGCAGAACACACCTTCCTCATCCCCAGGAGTGCCGTCTGCTCAGGATGACTCCCCATTCATCCGGCCCCCATCTCCAACTGCATCACCCCGTAGACCGTCCCTCCTCCCATTTCGCGGTGATGGGTCTGTAAGTGCCTTTGACCCATATTGAATTCAATGTTCACCAACCGCGTTATATGTCTCGCTCTATCAGATGCGCGTCGGCACGCAGACTCTTATTCAGGCATTGCAAGCCATGCCATGGGCAGGAGCGGACGATGCTGACAGCGACGATGACGTGAATGCTAGTGGCCGTGAGGACGAAGAGGAACCCGGTCAGTCCGGACTGTTCCTTCCTGCAAAAACTCGAAAACTCTGCGCTGACATCCTTTTGCGGCTCAGCAGCTCCTCCGATAGCGTCTTCTATCCATACAATATACAGGCCACTGGCTCGTTCCCAGCGCCTGCATCTCAGTGTTCCTGCTCTTTTATCCAGGAGAAGAAAGTTTCCCTCAGAAAGCCCCGTCGCTGAGGAATCCGACGGATCACTCAACCTAGAAGAGGACGAGGACTCAGCAGCTCAAGAAGTTCTTTCTGACGACGAGGTGCAAGACGACTTTGAGGACTCGACTCCTCGGCCTCCCAATGCCCAACCATCGTCAATGCTCAGCGCCGTACAGGATCAGACTCAGACTCAGACTATGCCCCAGGTATCACGTGGAAGTAGCATGGCCACCGTGAAGCTCCAGAGACGCGCGCGACTCGCTGGGAAGCTCAAAGACATTTTTGAGTTGGATTCCATCAACGAAGTCTTGGCAGGTACGTTGGATCCGCGCAAGTGTCCGTATGTGTCTCATTGTCATTGCGTAGAGATGCCATGCTGGTTACTTCGCTCTGTGTGTAAGTGTTCGTCGTCCTGTTGGCATCTAGTCCTCTAACGGATCTTAGTGCTTCAGGGTTATATGTATCTCACCAACTCATACATCTGTTTCTTTGCGCATATGCCATTACGAGAGGTGTGATTAACGCTTTCCTAATTTTGGATAGACTACTAACTGCTTTCGACACATGTAATAGGATCAGGTCCTCAAGAGCGGCTCCTTACACAAAAAGGCACAACGTACAAAGCGGTGGATCAAACATTGGTTTGTTCTGAAGAATGATGCATTATCGTGGTATCAGTCATCAGCCGTAAGCATAATTTGTACTTCTTGGAGTCAAGTTTAATTGTTTTGTTTTTTTTATATCTGAACTGGTTAGGATCCTTATTTTCCGCATGGTATCGTCGATTTGCGATATGCCATTTCTTGCGATCCAGTGGACGATAAGGACTTCCGCATCCGGACGAACCAGAAGACCATCTTGTTATCCGCTTACTCCGCACCTAGTAGAGAAGAGTGGGTTAAAAGCATCCGGAAAGTAATGTTTAAAGCGCAGAATTCTGGTGACAGTGTCAAGGTGATTCGCCGTATTACTTCCTAGAATCTAATATTTATTTCGCAAACCGGAAGATTGCCATTCCCTATTCCTGCATACTCGACGTCGAACGATCAACAGCTATGGATTTCAGCGAGACCATAGAAGTCAAAGTGTTCGAGAAAGAGTCGCCATTCTCCATCGACTCTTACTTCTTTGCTTATTTCCATGATCTGCCTGCCGCTCTTGACCAGATCCGTGACGCCGTACGTGACTACCGGAACCGTCCTCACTTGGACTCGCCACAAGCCTTACTCGATACGACGGTCCCCAAAGGACCGCCTATGACCGTCGACCGCACAGCCAGTCTCCCCGCGGAAATACCGTCATCCGTGTCCTCGCCACTAACACCCTCCGTGTCTTCATCTTCTCGCACCGGTTTTCGATTGACCTCTCTCTTCCGCATGCCCACCCTTGATGCGCGGTCTGGTGTCCCTCTCTCGCGTGGGAGTTCGGGAGAGAGTTCACAATCCGCGAGCGAGGACTTCACGTATATTTCACGTCGACCGGACTCGTTCATCCCCATCACGACCTCGCCGGATATGGAGCAAGCATCCGAGACACCGACGCAGTCGCGGATTGAGCACACGTACCCACCGTCAACTTCCTTATCTCCCGCTGAGTCGCCTGACGAGTCTTCCTTCACCAGAACAGCAAGTGCGACGCCGACGCAGATCCCAGCCGCATCGAGCTTCTCGTCGTTATTGCCGATCAGTGTACCGCTATGGCTCCGTCCATCCCGCAAGCTATGGGGCGCGTCTGGCGGACAATTGTCGGTGCTGACGTCATCAAATGTGAAGGAAGTGTACTCCCCCCATACGATAGAGGACCGACGGACCAACGGCGCGGACATGGCGTTTAGTGTCTTAGAAACCCCCGACGTGAGGATCGATACAGAAACGACAGACAAGTTCCGACAAGCGTTTGCGTACGACGAGAAGGAGATTTTGCTTGGCTGTTGGTATTCTGACCATCAAATCGGTGCATTGATCTGACCACATCTTTGCCAGACTTCCCAGGATACCTTTTCCGTCTTTTGCCTATATATGGTCGAATGTATGTCTCAACAAATTACTTTTGCTACAAATCCAGCAGCCGCCTTACTTCACGGACTCGAGTGGGTTTCGTCCATAAATCTTCTCGTCGTTCTCAGTTTCACCATGTCAATAGATGGCCATCCCCATAC